GCTTCCTGGAATCAGCCGCTGATCAGTTTCAACAGCAGCTGAATCTGGACGCCTGGGACAGAGCAGCTGGGGCACTGCCGGGTAGGTCCCCGCAGCGCCGTACCTCGGCATCCGTGAGAAAAGCCTGGTCTCTGCTGGAGGGGAGGAGGAGGGGAGGCGCACTAGCTGCGCCCGCCCCCCCCCAGCAGACCATGGAGACACGGGCGGCGGGGCTGAGATGCGCCGCGGTGCCGCCGCCCAGGTCCTCCGCGGCTTTGCTCCGCGTCTCCCTGGTCTGCTGGGGGGCCCGGCGCCCAGGTCCTCCGTGGCTTTGCTCCACATCTCCCTGGTCTGATGGGGGGAGAGGCCCCAGCAGACCAGGGAGATGTGGAGCAAAGCCGCGGAGGACCCGGGCGGCGGGACCGCGGCGCGGCTGGGCGGTCCCGCCGCCTGCATCCTCCGGGGCGAGAAAAGCCCCGTTCGTAAGTACGGATCCGACATAAGTCGGATCCGCGTATCTCGGGGACTGCCTGTACTGCAGAAAGAGATATAGGGGTCATAGTGGACCACAGAACAATCTAAACATGAGTCAATAGTGTGACACGGTTACAAAAAAACCAAACATGATTCTGGGATGCATTAACAGAGCAATAAAAATGATTAAATGTCTAGAAAACATGAGCTATGAGGGAAGACTGAAAGAATTGGGCTTGTTTAGTTTAGAAAAGAGAAGACTGAGGGGTACATTATAGCAGTTTTCAAGTATCTAGAAGGTTGTTAGAAGGAGGAGGAAGAAAATTGTTCTTCCTCAGCCTTGCCCAGGTTGATGGGCTGATGAGCCAGTGGGGACAGGATGCCTTTGGGAAAGCTGGAAATCACACAGAGGCAGTTGGGGACTTGAATCCTCCTCCTCCCCTCAGGTATCTATGAGATAAGTTCAAATAATGACCATAGCTTATGGGGAGAAGCAGCAAATACACCTACTTCACTCCTGGTTGTGTGCCCTGTGACCCTGGGATCAGCATATGGGTCTTGGGAAGTGTCCTATACAGTGAATATCACAGAGTACTGGATAAAAGAAAGCCACAGGGCTCCTCCTGAAGGAGGCAGTGCAGTTCCTAAGGGAGGTTTCACAGCGTATGTGCCCCTGAACAGGCTTCTGTTGAGTGGAAGTTTCCTGTGCAGAGGGATTTTTTTGAATTGCCTTCAGTTCCTCAGAAAGCACTGTCCTTACACAGACACACTTGTGCATGGGATTAGCACTCAGTTCTGATCTGGCTCTACATGTAGACAGAGCCGGCCCAAGCTACGAGCTAACCGGGCTACTGCCCGGGGCGCCCAATTGTAGGGGGTGCCGCTTGGGGCTGCCAGGCTGGGTGGAGGCGGCACCGTGCATGCTCCGCGCGCCTGGGGGCAGGCCGCACATGTGTCACATTCCCGGGAGTGGCGCTGCGCTCCCGGAGCTCATGTGTCACATTCCCGGGAGTGGCGCTGCGCTCCTGGAGCTCGGGGCGCACGAATGGCTCGGGCCGGCCCTGCACGTAGATATATCAGTGCCCATGGTGTGTGCTTGAAAATCCCAACCACTGACACAGCCGGGTATCCATTTTATCAATAGCTATTTTTTATTCTGTTCAAAAGGATAATGCAAAACACTTTTCCAGGTACAGATAGGAGTATCCCTTCCTGTAGCTGACTGGTCCATGGGTGAATATGTCCAATGATGGAAGCAAGAGTTCAGTTAAAGCTGAATTTAGGATGGGTAGAGTCCAGTAAACAAGCAAAAGGTCAGAACTAGAGAGATAAAAGCCAAGTGCCAGAGCCAGATGGAAAACCAGAGCCATAAACCAGAGATGGAGCCAGAGATCAAAGCCAGAAGTCAGAAGCTGGAAACAGGATGGAACTAGTCCTGAAAGAAAGCTAGATCAGGGACTGGACTGAGGACAGCTGCAGGCACGATACACATTGAGACGGCGCAGCAGGTTTGTAAAATATTTGGTGGTGCCCAGAATGGGTCTAAGTCCAGCCATCTCCCACACCAGCCTCGTAAACCTAGAGATTTTAAAATAGTGTAAAAATGGACTGGAAACAGTAAATGTGTAACAGTTTCCCAGTATTGCACAATATCACTATTTAAGAAAACGATCTAAAAATATCAACTTTATTAATGCTCTTTCGAATACAGAACAACCAAGCACTCTTGGATCAAGAACCCTCAAAAGCAATTTTTCCTAAAATTAGAACAGCTGTAGCCCCTTCTTTTGCTGTATCCTTCAGGGAGCAGCACATACTTTTCATCATTCTTCAGTTCTTGAAATGAAGTCATTCAGGAGGCTTGCAATGTCTGTTTCAGAGGCCGAGTTCTTATGAATGTGCACAAATGCCAAGAGATTTAGACATTCTTTGCTCATAGCCATTTGCAAATAATTTTTTGGTCTGCACAGGCAACTCACTCAACAGGGCAGGCTGCAGTAGGAATTATGTAGAATAATTTCAGGAGAACTGTAACTTCTGGCAACATGTCACTCAAGCCTTTGTTTTGTTTCAGAAATTGCTTCACTTCGCTCAGCTGGCATTTTCTTGATCTGCAAATATATTACTCACCATTTCTAAATGAAGAGGTAGCCTCTCTGTATTAACGTGGAAAGCTTCACTTAGTCCCATGTTTGCTGAATTTTCTTCTTTAAATATTTTCTTTCTTCAGAAAACCCCCATGAATTGGCTGGAGTCATCTTCCTTACATTTCTCACTCCCACTGTAGTCCTGGCTGTATCAACACTTGCTGTTTTAAAAAACTGCCTCTGTCCTTCAGGCTACGTCTACACTTCAGGCTTCTTGTGCAAGAACTTTTTGTGGAAGAGATCTTGCATCTACATTGCCATGGACGCTCTTGAGCAAGAAAGAGCACCTGTGCTTTTTCCAATAGGGGTTTCTTGTACAAGAAATCCCTGTTGTCTGTCCACACGCGCCTTTTTGCACAAGAGCTCTTGCACAAAAAGGCTTATTCCTCGTAGAAAGAGGAATAATTCTTACCCAAAAAGCCCTGTCTTTTGACGATAAACTGTACTTTTTCTTGTGCAAAAATGCGCTTGTAGTATAGATGCTCCGCAAGTTTTTGCACAAAACCAGATGTTTTTGCACAATAACTCTGCAGTATAGATGTAGCCTCAGTGTCATCCAGCTATAGCTTTAATTCCTCACATCTATTAGTTTAAAGTCATTACTCGCATTAGGCCGGGTTGCATATTATCCCTACATTTCTTGTGCATTGTTATAAACTTTGCTGCTTTCTGATGAGAACAATGACAGGGCTGCTGCCAAGAACAATGGTATTGTTTGGATAAGAGAAAATATCTGAGACTTAGTATCCAAAATCTAACTTGGATGGAATGAAAGAACTCTTTGAGCATAGAAGGATAAACAGTCAAAGTGGGACTTTGTATCAGGACAGAGAATCCCAAGATCATAAAAGGCAGGAGAGAATGCTGTCAGCATTGTCAAATTAATATCTGACAGAGAAGAGTTTAAGAGTTGATGACTTCATCTACTTTGGAGGTACAATATCTGCTAATGGTTTGCTCACTTAAAAAAAATGAGGGCAAGAACCAAAGCCAGTGGATATTTTTCCAGTTTGTCAAACATTTGGAAGAATAAGAAAATACATCTATACACTAACAAAAGATTGTATAATGGTACTGTCCTTCCAGCACTACCAAATGCCTCAGAAATGTAGCAGATGGCAGAAATACACAATAGGAACTGACCGTATTCCACCCATGTTGTTTAAGAATACTCTTGGGAATTCATTGGCAAGACTGTCTAACTAGTGTGGAAGTGTTGTGTCACACAGGCCAACAGATTGCAGACTCAATAATCAAACAGAGATAGCTACAGTGGTTTGGCCATGCCATCAGGTTACCCATGGCAGAAGCAAAGCTATAGATTGGATCCCATCTGGAGGGAAGAGAAGGCATAAAAAAAAGAATATGACCATCATAGAGACATCTTACCATGTTGTCAAATATCTTGCTCTAGACAAACAATAGTGGGGAAAATGAGTTGCCGCATGTACCACTCAGCACAGGAGATTCTAAAGCTAAAATATATACTTTAGGACCTTTGCTTCCACAAAAATAAACTACCCAGAAATACAGTAGAAATGTGCGGAAGGTAAAGACATTAGTGGGGAAACATGTACTTGGCATACACTACTGTTTATACAGGCCTCCTTCCTGTACTGATAGGATATGGATAAGTTGTTTCAGGAATTCAATATTCACTTTTGATTCCCCCCCCCATAGGAAAAATATTTATCCCTAAAGAAAAGCCTATAGAAACCCACACTGAGGAGAAGGTGACTTTGGAGCCAGAATTAGAAGAAGCCCTGGCCAGCGCCTCTGATACTGAGCTCTACGACCTTGCAGGTTAGTTTGTATGTTTGGAAGTATGTAATTTTCTTCAGCCCAGCACTGCCTGTTCTTTCCACCAGGAGTCTGAGTTGTCACAACAAGCTCTGTTCTTACACAGCTGAGGCCGTGTTATCTTCAGCCTCTCTACATTCACTTCCATTGTGAAACCCAAGACTCTAGGGACATTCTCAGGGTGAGGTAGCTGCTATAGCATTCTATTTTTAGCACACTAGTGGGATGTGAGCTAGCACCAGTATGTTTGCTTGAGCAGAGACTCATGTCACCAGCACAAACAGTAGATAGGGCCGGGTGTCTTTTCACTTCCATTGCATTTAAATCCCATCCCATCACTGGAGGTGCTCAGCGCCTTCTAGTATTGGGCTGTCAGTATCATTTGCAACTGTCCTCGCTATTTTGTAAGACGCGATGTTCTGTGCCCACAAACATATCTCAAACAACCAGAACACTACCCAGCTACATCCAATGTACATCTTGCAAAGAACATACTAGCTACAAAGCTTTTGGTTCATATTCTATCCTCATTTTACACACTGTTACCAACAGTGTGAATGAAAAGACTAAGGATAAAATGCGGCTCTACATTAGGTTTTTTGTTTGTGTTTTTAACAATGGTCAATACTAGAGCTGGTTGGGAATTTTCCTTTGAAATGATTTTCTTTTTAAACAGAAAGCTCAGTTTTCAGATAATTAAAATTTTCCATTAGAAAATTCAATTTTGTAGATTTTTTTTAAATGTTATTGGGAAAATCTAAAAAGATTTCAGTTTGTTGAGCTGAGTTGAAATATTTTGTTTTGAGTCAGAAACATTAAACTGCACTTGCTAAGGGGCTGCATTGCAACAGAAGAGTTGTTGTTCAGATGTGGCATGCCCCCATTCTCTCCTGTGTGCGGAGCTCTTTTGCCAGACAGTTTCCCATGATGTATTGCAGTCTCACACCTCACCAAACCCTTTGGTGACTCATGGGAGCTGTATGACTGTGGTACATCATTCAACCAAAACAAATGTAGAAATATCAGAATTTTAGCTGGGATGGAAATTCCAGATTTTGCTCAGCTCTAGTCAGGACCCAACCCTCTGTTCTAGAATGTATAGCATAAATAAAGACGAATACAATTGTATAAAGGTCCTATTAACCAGAGGGCTGCAAATAGTCCATAATGGTGGTGTAATATCACAAGTGATATTAACTGTAAACAGTCACATTCTTCAAAATCTGACTGGAGAGATAAAAATCCACAGTGAGTCATTAATTCCTGATTCATAGATACTTGTACACAATAGAAAGGATCTCCCAGGTCCTTGTAGGCAACTAATCCGAGGAGAAGGATCAGCTACCCAACAGTTACATTGTTTCTGACAGAATACTGTGGAAATTGCCTTTGTACAAGATAATTTTTATTTGCTGTCTCTTTTATTGAAGTCTAAGTTTCTTTCATCAGTCTATTTCCAGTTCTTGTATAAATCCTTAGTGCAGTGTCTTCCATTATGTTTTAATGTTTTCTTTCCCCACCATACGTCAGCACCCACATAAATCCCAGGATGACTATGATGTGCATATATGAATGAAAGCATTTCAGGTTATAGACATACATATATGCATGTTCCATTGGTGCCTTTGTAAGAAAGAAATTATAGTCAGGTTCTCCAAACTTTCAGCTTACAGTATTAGAGGGTAACCAGCCTACCTATGAACACATATGACCCAAGACAGTAACAGCTCTCTGATTATCTAATCAGGGAACTAAATTGGAATTTGTAAAGGGCATGTTTCTTTTGCAAACTTTATTAACATTGGGCTCTACTACTGGCTTTTTCGTATTTACAGCTGTTCTTGGGGTGCACAACATGGTCAACAACCCACAGTTTGATGAAGAAGGCACCAGCAGTAAAGATGGAAAAGGAAGTGTGAGAAGTAAGTAAACAGATCTCCTTGCAGTCTGCTTGTATTCTTAGGTAGTTATATACATGTTCGAAGTTGTTCGTCTAATCATTACAGTATCACTGGACTGATCCTTCATTAATCCACCATCAATAATCATTAAATTTAATTAAATTAACTGTAATTTAAATTTAAAAAATCATACAATCGACAGTGTTCTACACAAATAAATCAGTCCAGCAGGGAATTCGGTTTTCCTCAGTAGCAATGCATGCTAAATAGAGGTGACAGAGAGGAGTGGGAGTGCACACAGTAACAAGTGTGGGAGTGGAATGGGAAGGTGAGGCATCTATGTTTCCATTCATCCCTGGGCATATAGATGTGAAACTAAAGCAGAGGTGGACAAAAATTCTTGATCGGGGGCCACAGTGAGAATTTGGTAAGTGATCAAAGGCTGCACTCTTCTATGATTTTAATGGAGGAGGTGCAGCATCTGAGATGGATATTGGGTGCAGAAGGGAGCTTGGGTGAGAGGACTGGGGTTCAGGATCCAGGAGGGAGTGCAGAGTCTGGGAGAAGGTTGTAAACAGGAGCCAAGGTCAACCAAAACAAATGTAGAAATATCAGAATTTTATTAACTTTGGGCTCTACTACTGGCTTTTTCGTATTTACAGCTGTTCTTGGGGTGCACAACATGGTCAACAACCCACAGTTTGATGAAGAAGGCACCAGCAGTAAAGATGGAAAAGGAAGTGTGAGAAGTAAGTAAACAGATCTCCTTGCAGTCTGCTTGTATTCTTAGGTAGTTATATACATGTTCGAAGTTGTTCGTCTAATCATTACAGTATCACTGGACTGATCCTTCATTAATCCACCATCAATAATCATTAAATTTAATTAAATTAACTGTAATTTAAATTTAAAAAATCATACAATCGACAGTGTTCTACACAAATAAATCAGTCCAGCAGGGAATTCGGTTTTCCTCAGTAGCAATGCATGCTAAATAGAGGTGACAGAGAGGAGTGGGAGTGCACACAGTAACAAGTGTGGGAGTGGAATGGGAAGGTGAGGCATCTATGTTTCCATTCATCCCTGGGCATATAGATGTGAAACTAAAGCAGAGGTGGACAAAAATTCTTGATCGGGGGCCACAGTGAGAATTTGGTAAGTGATCAAAGGCTGCACTCTTCTATGATTTTAATGGAGGAGGTGCAGCATCTGAGATGGATATTGGGTGCAGAAGGGAGCTTGGGTGAGAGGACTGGGGTTCAGGATCCAGGAGGGAGTGCAGAGTCTGGGAGAAGGTTGTAAACAGGAGCCAAGGTGCAGAGGATTTGAGTTGTGACCTAGGGTAGGAGGGGATTGTGACTGGAGGCAGGGAATTGAGATACAGGAGAGGATTCTGAGCTGGAGGAGGAATGTAAGAGGCGGCACAGCGTCTGGAAGGGAGTTGTGACCTGGGGTGGGGGTGCGGAGGGCTTGGGTTGTCACCTGGGGCAGAGAGAGTTGGAGGGAAGGAGAAGTTAGGGTGTCAGGTGCAGGCTGTGGTTGGGAGGCTCTTACCTTAGGTGGTCAACTGTGGGAGGCTCTCTTGGGCAGACTCCCTGCCTGCCACACCCCCGCATGTTGCTCATAGCAGTGAGCTGTGGGGGCCATGTGTATCTCTATGCTGCATGCCCCATGGGGGGGCCCTCTGCACACTGCCTGCATTGGAAGTATGACGCAATGCGAGCTGCGAGACTGTGCTGGGATGGGGGCAGCGCATGCAGCCCTCTCCACTGGGGCGTGCGATGTGCAGAGATGGAGTGGCCCCTGCATGTGGACAGCATGTGGAACATGATGGGCAGGGAGCAGTGGCAGGCCAGATGTGAAGGTTTGGCAGGCTGAACCTGGCCTGTGGGCTGTTTTTTGCCTGCACCGTTATGGAGGAATCACCATATAGCATCTGCTCAGTGAAATCCAGCTGGAGGCATATGTAACTCTTAAGTTCTACTATGAGCTTAGGTGTGATTTCCTCGGTGCATTGGTTTGGCCTAGGGTGAGTGTCAATGTCACTTCCTGGAAATGCCTGTCAACTTTCAAGTTGCAGAACATGACTAGGAATTGCTTTCTGCTCTACACATTTAAACACCGCTGTGGTCATTCCTTTTCTTGGTTGTCACAGCTTGGGTGGGCAAGGCTTATGATTCATCTCCACCATTATAAGCTGAGGAATTATAGGTATTAATTATGTTGTATGCTATGATGTTTATGCATCTCCTGGAATGAACAATTCTCTTTTACAGGACCTGGCTGCCAACATTAAAAATTGTTCTCTCTTTGGAGCAGGGATACACAAAGACTTCATAAATCTAGGTGTAGGCAGAGAGCTGCTTTTCATGCTTCGATAGTTTTATTATTTAGAATGTGTGGATGTTGCAATTTTACAAGAGCTAATTGAATTTATAGATGGGCTGATAATGTCGCAATTGGAGGTGTGTGCTAAGGGGCCTCATCATCATAATCTTTGATGTTACCAGTGTCTGTTTAGAGGAAAAGGGGCACTCTCTCAGAATATACCAACCTTATTTCCCCTTGTAGGCTTTATGGCAGGACCATAAAGAACCCCAGGATTCTTTTCTGTTTTTTTTTTAATATCCTGTGCAATAAACTAAATGCTTGAGTCAGATGCACATGGTTGGCTCAGAGTCACTGAACTGGGAGCTTTGCACAAATAGCTGATGATGTAATTTGTCCCTATAGTGACTGGTCACGTACCGTAGGCTAACATGCTTCCCTTCCTAAAAACAGATGCATAGAGGGAACTAACCTGATTGTTCCTGCAAATTCTTCAGTACAACCTTCCTACCATTCTCTCTCCTTTTTGGTGATAGGGCCACATCAGGGTAGAACTTGCAATAGATCATGAAGATCTTTAGGAAATGCAGGGTGCAATACAGAATAGCTCATGGCACCCACTGCAGGACAGTGAGGCTACGTCTACACTAGAGGGGTTTTGTGCAAAAACCCGCAGAGCGTTCACACCTCAAGTGCATTTTTCCACAAGTAAATGTACAGTAAATCAAAAGAACAGCGGGTTTTTTGTGATGTAGGAATAATTCTTTCTATGAGGAATAACTGCTTTTTGCCCAAGAGTTATTGCACAAAAAGGTGTGTGTGGATGGGCAATAGGGTTTTTTTGCGCAAAAAGAGCCAATCGAAAAAAGCCTAGATGCTCTGGTGGCTATTCTGTGAATGGCAATCAGATCTTTCTTTCGAGAGAGCATCCATACAGTTTGGACGCTCTCTTTTGCAAAAAGCTTCTTGCGCAAGAAGCCTGCAGTGTAGACGTAGCCTAGAGAGAGGATGAAAGGGTGTCTGTCCTCCCCAAATGGCACAGTTTGGGTTTTAATTTTAAGGAAAATGAGGGTTCCTTAGGTTTGCCGGAAGGGAATGCAAAGGGGATACATTGCAACTAGAATCTCCCCTTGCGGGCACCTTCACTGAGCTCAGCAGCTCAGCATCTATTCTACAGCATACCTGGAGGATGTTCAATAGACTCCTTCCTCCATTCCAAGACAGTGTGGAGAGGGGAGTGAGGTGTGGCCACATGCTCACCTGGCCCCTACCCCTTGTAAAAGCACTGAAAGGGCTCTAAGAAAGAGAAGAGCCTTGTAGCTGTCCTTGTACAGAGATGGGGGAGAGGACAGCGCTGGTCATAATTTCATGTATATATTAGTGTATATAGCACAGTGAATTTCATACTATACACTACATGTCACCTTTATCTGTCCATGTTAATGAGTCTGCTAGAAAGTTGCCCCCAGGGAAAATATTTTCTAATTTTTTCCCACAAATTGGGAAATGTAGTGTTTAAAAGTGTATCGCAATAGTTATTCATCTTTTCACATTAGCTGCACTTTCTTTCTTGTGTGTAGCACCATAAGCAACAACAAAGAAAGGGGAATCCAGTTTTGTTGACATTCTTTACCAGCCCCCAAAACATTAGCAGCTCAGAGAAACGCTAGTCAGACATCCAGCACCCTGCCTATGAGATTTGCAATGGCAAGGATTTTAACATCCAGTTTGCCACAACACAAACATAAGGGAGAGATTTGAAAATCTAGTTTGTCCTTGATGATGTGTGCGCATCCTTTCAATGTTTAATTAAATCTTGTGTTTCAGATGTGGTCAAAGGTGAAAAGGTCAAGCCAGTTTTCGAGGAGCCACCTAATCCAACCAACGTGGAAGCCAGTTTGCAAAGGATGAAAGCAAATGATCCTAACCTCCTAGAAGTCAATCTGAACAATATAAAGGTATTTGGACAGGGGCTGTGGCTTCATTCTCTTTGTTGCAGGAAGGTACATCTGAGATGACAAGGTTTACAATGTTTTTTAGATGTATGGGGTTTTGCTTTCAAATGTATTGTTGCATTTACAATTGGGAGGAGCAGGACACTCAGGAGAGAAAGAGAGGCAGATAGGAAATGTTCCAAGGTACCTGACATCAAATTATCCGCCAGTTACAACTCCAAACAAGGGTTCTCTAGTCTGCCTTCATTTCTTTAACAGCTTGTAAAGCAAGATACCTCATAGGGCAACCAAAGGTGTTGGATAATTTGCACAATGGGATTGCCGAGAGCCACTGAACCAAACCGCAAACCCTGTATATGGGTATGTCTACACTGCCACCATAGTTTGAACTAGGGTGGCTAATGTAGGCATTCAGACTTGCAAATGAAGCCCGGGATTTAAATATCCCGGGCTTCATTTGCATGTTCCCGGGCGGGCGCCATTTTTAAATGCCCGTAATTCGAACTACCTGCCCGCGGCTACATGCGGCATGGACTAGGTAGTTCGAATTAAAGCTCCCAATTCGAACTACCGTTATTCCTCCTACAAGTCCGTGCCGCGTGTAGCTGCGGGCAGGTAGTTCGAACTATGGGCATTTAAAAATGGCGCCCGCCCGGGAACGTGCAAATGAAGGCCGGGATATTTAAATCCAAGGCTTCATTTGCAAGTTCGAATGCCTACATTAGCCACCCTAGTTGGAACTAGGGTGGCAGTGTAGACATACCCTATGATAGAAGCCCATTTCACGCCAGAGGGTGCCACAGCATCCCCAGCATCCTTATTCCAGCTCCTGGGAAAAGTTGAGAATCTCAGACCCCATCCTAACACTGGGCTGGAGAAGTAAGCTTTGGCTGCACAGCTTGGAGTGGCAGATTGGCTCTGGGAATCAGATAAAGCTTTGTTAGTGTTTGCTTTGAGCTCAAGATGGTGAAAAATAGAAAAAAGGACCAGCATACTGAATTGGTTCATTGTATCCTTTCCACCAGTGTTGGTAGCAATCTCACCTCCAGGGTCTAATTCCATTTCAAGGCTTGGGCTCATGCCCAAAGCTGACACTGCACATTGTTCTAAGATTTATGGATTGGTTATTCATCCCCATCACATTGTTTCTGGACACAAATGTACATTTGAAAAAACAATATCAATGATCCAATAATGCAACTACCAAACTATACCCCAGCTCACCACTCACTCTCAACTGCCCAAAACAAATCCCCAGCTAATTAAGAGGGCTCCTTGCAGCTAGCAGCAAATGCGTCCCAGCTAAAAAGTTAGATTGAACAGATACATTTTAAGCTCCACCCCTATGGGGCCAAACTTAGACTGGCTCCCTCTTGCAGTCTGCCAAAGCCTATGCTGAAGATGGGGGCCCTCCAATGAGAATATTATGGCCATGATCCAGGATTTCAAGCCTGGAGACAGAGAGCAAGAGCTTGCCATGAGTCTTAACATCCACGATGGTGCATGGTAGAAGAAATGAAGAAGGATCATCAGTTCTGAGATTGGTAGAGACTTTACAAATAAATCAGCACCTTACATTGCATCTGGAATTGAATATGAATTACAATGCAGATCAGTTTTTTTTCATTTTGACCTGTCTTGCATACAAGGAGGCAGCTACATTCTGCTCCAGCTCAAGGCATTGAGTGGTCTTCAAGGACAGCCACAGGCTGAGCAAGTTACTCAGGCCTAGCAAGCTTTGTAGAGGCTTTGCAGTGAGAAAGTGTTAATATATCAATCATCAAAGTAAATGTCTGGAGGGGTAATTGGCTGCAATGTTTTCTGGGTATTGTCTTAATGCAGAATATTCCAATTCCAACGCTGAAAGAATTTGCCAAGGCTTTGGAAACCAACACCCACGTGAAGAAGTTCAGCCTTGCAGCCACTCGAAGCAATGACCCTGTTGCTATAGTAAGTTGGAACATGGCTTGGAAAGATGTCCTCATTTATTAAGGCTGAGTTTGTCCCTAGAAGGGTATGAGAGGGTTGCAGAAAACCCTGTCCGTTGCGGGGTGAGTGTGTCCTGTCACACTCCTAATCCTAGTCTATATACTTGCCCTTTTTAGCAGGCAAGTGCAGCTTAATGGCCAGAGTCAATTAATTGTCCCCAGTCAACCGAGCAGTAAGGCCCAGTAGGTACAGTTAATAAGCTTGCCATAATGCAACAGGACAGTACAGCCCAATGTGCCAGTAACAAGAGAGTTGTCCCACTTAGCAGTGTTTAGTAACCCTCATCAGGACATTTGCCTCAGAAAGACAGGGCAGTCAGTGGCCTGAGTCCATAAATCCTTTGGTCTTGTCATAACCATGAGGGATGGCCAGCAGTCTGGGGCCTAAAGGGATTAACTGTACGTAGCCAGGATAACAGTCCACCAATAGAAATGCAGATAAGGATTTTCAAACTGAGATAAAGGAAATCTTTTGAAAGAGGCTCTTTCAAAAGATGCTTTCGAAAGAGCCTCTTTCGAAAGAAGCCTGCAGTCTAGACATAGCCCAAGAAAAAGACTCTTCATTATGTGTAAGTAGGGTAAAGTTTAGATAAATCAGTTAGGTTTTATGGTTTTCTGTTGTGGGACGTTGGATCTGATGTCTGTGCTGTTAGAAATGGGTTTCCCTCCCTTTTGTAACTAAGTCCTGAGCCCATGGGAGTCCCCATGAGTATATTAATTGGTGACTTTTTCCATCTTGTTATTATGCTTGAAACAGGTGTATTGTTTTGATAATTAAAGTTCTTTCTTTTTTATTAAGCTGGTATTGGTTCAGTTCTGTGTCCTGGAAAATCTGTCTGGGTATGTCTAGACTACATGCCACAAAAGCAAGAAAAAAAAAGAAAAGAAAAGCAATCACTGAAAAGTGTGCAAAATATCCCAGGCTTCCAGACTTCTTCCAAGACTCAGGCATATAACGATTCCTACAAATAATTCTCAACATAGAAGGCTTGTTGTAAATCAGATATGAAGGGTTATAATGGGAACATATGGGAACATTAATATGGGAGTCTAAACTACTCCATCATAAATGATCACCAGGGATAAAACTTAGACATAAACAGTATGTCTAGACTACATGCCTCTGTCAGCAGAGGCATGTAAATTAGACTACCCGACATAGTCAATGAAGTCTGGATTTAAATATCCCTGGCTTCATTAAAATAAAAATGGCCACCGCGGTGTGCCAGCTTAGCTGATTGTCGGCACAGCGCGGCAGTCAAGATGCAGATTGGACGACAGGGGAAGATTTTGTTGACCGGTCTTATGCCTCGTGAAACGAGGTTTACAGGAGCAGTCGACAAAGGATTCCCCAGGTGACCCTGGTGTAGACGGAGCTTGATCCTGCCTTGAGGGTGGGGGGCTGGACTCGATGACCTCTTGAGGTCCCTTCCAGTCCTATTATTCTATGATTCTATGATTCTATGATTCTACATGCCTCTGGCGACAGAGGCATGTAGTCTAGACATACCCTCTGTGGGATCTGCATGCCTCTGACTAGGGGACAGCAGCCACAGACTGCAGTTTATATTTTTCTCTTTCTTTTTCAAGCTCTTTGGAGAAAAGAGCTTGGGGTGCCCTGGGGTTGGTTTCAAATGTCTACCCCTGATTGTGGGTTCAAAAGCACTTAATGGTGGCAGCGGATTTTTATCCCTAAAATCTAGGTTTTTAAGATTTTGGGGGAGAAGCTTTATACCAAAGCCTGGAAATATAAGGTTTTGGGGTTGCTTTTGTGGGCTCCCACTTCTGCATTCATCATGCCAGTATGGGGATACAGCCTTGACAGGCCTAGTGGCCAAAGTTAATAGATTCGCCCCCATTAGCAGGGCTTTACGGTAGCTAAAGTCCATAGATTTTATTCTTCTCTGCAGGGCAGGTAGACCTGATGGCTAGAGTCCACGTATTCACCCCTAATAGCTGGGCAGTGCGGCCCAGTGGCAAGAGTCAGTAGGTTCTCTTCTTCTATCATAGAATCATAGAATAATAGGACTGGAAGGGACCTCAAGATGTCATCGAGTCCAGCCCCCCGCCCTCAAGGCAGGACCAAGCTCCGTCTACACCATCCCTGACAGATGTCTATCTAACCTGTTCTTAAATATCTCCAGAGAGGGAGATTCCACCACCTCCCTTGGCAATTTATTCCAATATTTGACCACCCTGACAGTTAGGAACTTTTTCCTAATGTCCAATCTAAACCTCCCCTGCTGCACTTTAAGCCCATTACTCCTTGTCCTGTCCTCAGAAACCAAGAGGAACAAATTTTCTCCTTCCTCCTTGTGACACCCTTTTAGATATTTGAAAACCGCTATCATGTCCCCCCTTAATCTTCTTTTTTCCAAACTAAACAAGCCCAGTTCATGAAGCCTGGCTTCATAGGTCATGTTCTCTAAACCTTTAATCATTCTTGTTGCTCTTCTCTGTACCCTTTCCAATTTCTCCACATCTTTCTTGAAATGTGGCGCCCAGAACTGGACACAGTACTCCAGCTGAGGCCTAACTAGTGCAGAGTAGAGCGGCAGAATGACTTCACGAGTTTTGCTTACAACACACCTGTTGATACAACCTAGAATCATATTTGCTTTTTTTGCAACAGCATCACACTGTTGACTCATATTCAACTTGTGGTCCACTATGACCCCTAGATCCCTTTCTGCCATGCTCCTTCCTAGACAGTCGCTTCCCATCTTGTATGTATGGAACTGATTGTTCCTTCCTAAGTGGAGCACTTTGCATTTCTCTTTATTAAACCTCATCCTGTTTACCTCTGACCATTTCTCTAACTTGCTAAGGTCATTTTGAATTATGTCCCTATCCTCCAAAGAAGTTGCAACCCCACCCAGTTTGGTATCATCTGCAAACTTAATAAGCGTACTCTCTATCCCAATATCTACATCATTGATGAAGATGTTGAACAGTATGGGTCCCAAAACAGACCCTTGAGGAACTCCACTTGTTATCCCTTTCCAGCAGGATTTAGAACCGTTAACAACAACTCTCTGACTACGGTTATCCAGCCAATTATGCACCCACCTTATCGTGGCCCTATCTAAGTTATATTTGCCTAGTTTATCAATAAGAATATCATGCGAGACCGTATCAAATGCCTTACTAAAGTCTAGGTATATGACATCCACCGCTTCTCCCTTATCCACAAGGCTCGTTATCTTATCAAAGAAAGCTATCAGATTAGTTTGGCATGACTTGTTCTTCACAAACCCATGCTGGCTATTCCCTATCACTTTATTACCTTCCAAGTGTTTGCATATGATTTCCTTAATTACCTGCTCCATTATCTTCCCTGGGACAGACGTTAAACTGACCGGTCTGTAGTTTCCTGGGTTGTTCTTATTCCCCTTTTTATAGATGGGCACAATATTTGCCCTTTTCCAGTCTTCTGGAATCTCCCCTGTCTGCCATGATTTTTCAAAGATCATAGCTAAAGGCTCAGATACCTCCTCTATCAGCTCCTTGAGTATCCTGGGATGCATTTCATCAGGACCTGGTGACTTGCTGACATCTAACTTTCCTAAGTGATTTTTAACTTGTTCTTTGTGTATCCTATCTTCTAAACTTACCCTCTCTCTGCTTGTATTCACTACGTTAGGCACACCTCCAGACTTCTCGGTGAAGACCGAAACAAAGAAGTCATTGAGCATCTCCGCCATTTCCAAGTTCCCTGTTACTGCTTCTCCCTCCTCGCTAAGCAGTGGGCCTACCCTGTCCTTGGTCTTCCTCTTGCTTTTAATGTATTTATAAAAGGTCTTCTTGTTTCCCTTTATGCCTGTAGCTAGTTTGATCTCATTTTGTGCCTTTGCCTTTCTAATCTTGCCCCTGCATTCCCGTGTTGCTTGCCTATATTCATCCTTTGTTAGTTGTCCTAGTTTCCATTTTTTATATGACTCCTTTTTTATTTTGAGATCATGCAAGATCTCCTTGTTAAGCCAAGCTGGTCTTTTGCCATATTTTCTATCTTTCCTACACAGCGGAATTGTTTGCTTTTGGGCCCTTAACAACGTCCCTTTGAAATACTTCCAACTCTCCTCAGTTGTTTTTCCCTTCAGTCTTGCTTCCCATGGGACCTTACCTACAAGTTCTCTGAGCTTATCAAAATCTGCCTTCCTGAAATCCATTACCTCAATTGTGCTGGTCTCCCTTCTACCTTTCCTTAAGATCATGAACTCTATTATTTCGTGATCACTGTCCCCTATACTGTCTTCCACTTTCAAGTTCTCAACTAGTTCCTCCCTATTTGTTAAAACCAAATCCAGAACAGCTTCTCCTCTGGTAGCTTTTTCAACCTTCTGAAACAGAAAGTTGTCTCCAATGCAGTCCAGAAACTTATTGGATAGCCTGTGCCTCGCTGTGTTAGTTTCCCAACATATGTCTGGATAGTTGAAGTCTCCCATCACCACCAAATCTTGGGCTTTGGATAGTTTTGTTAATTGTTTAAAAAAGGCCTCATCCACCTCTTCCACCTGGCTAGGTGGCCTGTAGTAGACTCCTAGCATGATATCACCCTCGTTTTTTACCCCTTTTAGCTTAACCCAGAGACTCTCTACACAGCTATCTCCTACGTTCATCTCCACTTCAGTCCAAGTGTGTACATTTTTAATATACAAGGCAACCCCTCCTCCCTTTTTTCCCTGTCTGTCCTTCCTGAGCAAGCCGTACCCTTCCATACCAACATTCCAATCGTGCGTCCCATCCCACCAGGTTTCTGTAATACCAATGATATCATAGTTGTATTTATTGGTTAGCAATTCCAGTTCTTCCTGCTTATTACCCATACTTCTTGCATTTGTATATAGGTATCTAAGATATTGATTTGATCTTGCGATGCCCAGTAACCACAATCAGTACATTTGTTCCAAGAAAACAGGTCAGTTACGCCTAACGTCCAAAGTCTGTAGTTTTTCTCTTCTCAGCAAAGCAGTGAAGTCTAGTGGTCAAAGTCAGTTGGGAAGGGGGCTGCCACACACAGGAAGGAGGACATGGCAGCCCTGGCAGTCCAGCCCCTTCTACTACACATGACCCCAGCTCAGGGCCTTGGAAGAGGCATGGGCATAGGCCACTGAGTCAGTGGGAGGCAAGGGGGATGCCAAACAAAACACACTGACTCAGTGGCCTGGTTAATGAACCAAAGCTCTCTCTCATTCCTCTGGGCTGCTTCCTACCTTTGGGTACGTCTACACTAACCCCCTAGATCGATCTAGGGAGGCTAATGAAAGCGACTGGAATTGAAAAATCAAGCCCGAGATTTAAATATCCCGTGCTTGATTTGCATGTTCCCGGCCGGTCGCCATTTTAGAAATTGACTAGCCCGAAGTAACTGCCCGCGTCTACACGCGGCAATGAAACGGGATTCCGGAATAAAGCCCCTAAATCGAATTAGGTGGTAAACCTCATTCCACGAGGAATACCACCTAATTTGATGTAGGGGCTTTATTCCGGAATCCCATTTCACTGCTGCGTGTAGACGTGGGCAGTTACTTCGGGCTAGTCAATTTCTAAAATGGCGACCGGCTGGGAACATGCAAATCAAGCACGGGATATTTAAATCCCAGGCTTGATTTGCAATTCCAGTCGCCCTCATTAGCCTCCCTAGACCGATCTAGGGGGCTAGTGTAGATGTACCCATAGTCCTGGTTGCTGCGGTCAGGGCCTCTGTGCCTGCACTGTCCCCCATGACTCCTGGCGCAGTGGAGACTTACTAGTTACCTCAGCATCTGTTTGGGCTACAATATCTCTGGCCTCCACAGGCTCGGGTTTCAGCTGATCCTCAGCTGGAGCCATTAGGGCAAATCCTCCCTCCCCAGTGGTTGATCCCAACTGAGCTGAGCTGCTAGCTTTTATACCAGAGCACCTAGAGCATGCCCAGTAGAGAAAAGGATGTCTCCTGTTACCATGCCCATTGGCGTTCTAACCTGTTCTCTTCTAGGACTATGCTCTTCCTCCATGACTGTTTGGAGTGCTTCTCTAGGTATTAACTACAGTTTAGGTTCTTGGTGTTATCTGAAGCTTTCAGAGTTTCAAATTTGTAACTTCTTCCCTGTCTCTTCAGGCTTTTGCAGATATGTTAAAAGTGAACAAGACCCTGAAGAGTCTAAATATAGAATCCAATTTCATCACTGGGGCTGGCATTCTGGCACTGATTGATGCACTGAAAGAGAATGAAACCCTGACGGAGATCAAAATTGACAACCAGGTAAGGAGCGGGCAGTAAGCTGGTGTCTGCTTTGTTTGGTTTCTAGGTAGGTTCCATATGTTCTTCTATAATATTGTAGGTTTGGGATCTGTCAGAGAAGCAGGGCTGAAACCTGTGGATTGAAGCAATGTAGCACATTGCTGAATGTAACCACTTGTCTCTCTGTTTCTGAGTGGATGTTTCCTTTTCCTCTTACTGTGTGTCATCCAACAGAGGCAGCAGCTGGGGACCGCTGTAGAGATGGAGATTGCACAGATGCTGGAGGAGAACTCCAAGATTCTCAAATTTGGATACCAGTTCACAAAGCAAGGGCCAAGAACCAGGGTAGCAGCAGCTATCACTAAAAATAATGATTTAGGTAAGATGCTATAGACATTCATCAATGTTTCGTGCAGGTCAAGCCCTGCTCTTCTTATACATTTTGTAGGCAAAACATAATCAAATAGTGCCAGATCCTGAGGTCCCTAATCAGTTTTTACTGCATCCTGTCTCAGGCAAACACCATGCTTTAGGGCAGATGCTTTATTTTTAGCAAAACTTAAACATGCTGTTGCAGTCCCATGATAGACTTTAATTTCTGAAATTCTGTTGTCCCAGAAGGATAAAAGCTGGTTAAATCTCTCATCCTTATCATTTAGACAATTGCTCTAGAATTTTGCCTTCTCTTGTTTGCATCTAGTCAGTTTTTCTGATTTGCATTGGCAAATTGTAACATACTGGCTGTGTCTAGACTGGCAAGTTTTTCCGCAAAAGCAGCTACTTTTGCGGAAAAACTTGCCAGCTGTCTACACTGGCCGCTTGAATTTCTGCAAGAACACTGATGATCTCATGTAAGAAATCAGTACTTCTTGCGGAAATACTATGCTGCTCCCATTCGGGCAAAAGCTCAGATTTGTTTTGTGCAAAAAAGCCCCGACCGCGAAAATGGTGATCGGGGCTTTTTTGCGCAAAAGCGCGTCTAGATTGGCATGGACGCTTTTCTGCAAAAAGTGCTTTTGCGGAAAAGTGTCCGTGCCAATCTAGATGCTCTTTTCCGCAAATGCTTTTAATGGAAAACTTTTCCGTAAAAAGCATTTGCGGAAAATCATGCCAGTCTAGACGTAGCCACTCTGTAGCACACTAGAATACTTCATAAAACCATATCTGGATAAGCAAAATATTGGAAGCAGAGATAAAATGGCAGGCACTTGTATTGCCAGCTGTGGGACAATACAGTCTGTTTGCCAAGAGCTTTACTGTTTCCATGCAAGGAAGCTTGTAGACAGACACTGTCATTACTGGCACACTGCAGCGAGCAGTATTTTGTTCAGCTCTGCCTGTTTTGTTCTGTATTTCAGAAACTCAGTATCACAGACATGGCATCCCAGTGCAGTTTGGTAACACCAAACCTTACCTAGCATGAACAGCTTTAATCTGGGCTAATGGTTCAGTGCAAACTGGACAGGGTTATGGAATAGCTAATGCTGTGGATGGCAAGGAGGACAAGCACCATCGTCCAGTTAGAACTTTGCAAGTCCTCTTACAGTGCATTGCTGAGTGCCATGGTGCTGCTAGGGGACTTCTCCATTGAGTTACAGAGACGAAGACATCACTCAGAGTAACCCTGCACTGGGCACAATAGTAGAATGTCATTGATCTGTGATTCATTAAATTTCATCCCTCCCAAATAATCCATTTTTAGTGCAGATCTGTGGGTTTATTAAGGTTTACTGTGTTATCCAATGGCCTGTGCTATCCACAGAGCTATGCTGAGACTAACATGTTTCCTTTTAGGTTTCCTTTTTGGAATATTTTTCTTGTGGTTAGTAATAGTAACATGTAAAAGTGTATTATAAAAAGTCTGATTCTTTCATGTAGATATGCATCCCTCAAAGACATCAAAAGACTTACTCATGCATATTTTCATGCAGTGTTCTCATACAACAGAATTTTTACTTATTTCATTAGCCCCTAAAAGAAACTATTGCAGCCAAAAATCAGTAGCCAGCTATCTCACACTTAAATGAATCCAACGAGAATTATCTAGCACTCACACTTAGCCCACAGTACCAGTATCTATTAATTTAGTTGGAGCAATACAGTCTTCAAAAACACATTATACAAGCCACGATGATAATCTAAATTTAACCATTGGAACAAAATACCAGGGGAATGATAGAGTCTCCATTGCTTAAAATTTTCATATCAAGACTGGATGCTTTTTTGGAAGATATATGCTATTCAAACTCAAGTTTCTGAGCTCAATACAGGGATAAATGGGTCAAATTCTGTGGCCTGTGATTTTATATTCACTTAGACTAGATGATATAAGTCTCTTTTAATGTTAAACTCTATGAATCTGTGAAATCTCTAGACATAATCCTGTACCACCTAGAAGATACTGATGGGCCATCCTTCCCACTGGTTTTGGTGAGAGTTGAGTGTACTATGCATTTCCCTTGACTAGGTTCTTCAGAAGGAAAGTACAAATAACCAGTTTGCTAGTCCCAAATGGTCTCACATTGAGAAGTGTGCTTGAGTTCTTAATAAGTTAATGTTGAGAGATGGTTTTTGATTTTACTGGCATAGTTCGTAAAAAGCGAGTGGAAGGAGACCGACAGTAGCATGCTTAGGAGGATGCGAAGAGGTATTGAAGGCAGCCAACACAACAGCACTCTCCCAACATCCACTGGTTAGAAGGAACGACACTGGAAAATCATTGTAAAGAAGATTGCTCATTTCCGTTACTGTTCCCTTTAACCATTAAAATTGTTTTTAACGTTCATATTTAGTTTGATGTTTATGATAATAGGATTGTGTTATTGGAATATATGAAGTTGATATCCACAACCTAGGGATAAAATATGTCTTAGTAAGCATCAGCTGGAATACATTGAATCTTTTCAAGTACTTTTTTTTTAAACTCTGTTGAAACGACTGTTTTACATTGATGTAATGGGGCTTCACCACCCTGTCCTGCAATGCCTTAAGCATGTGAATAACCCTCACTTGCATGAGTAGTTCCACTGAAGTCAATTGGCTGCTCAGATGAGTAGGGATGACTTATGCCAATACTGGTTTGCGGGATCACACCCTTCGGCCCCAGTCCTGAATTCAGATCTGTGCATTTGGAACTCTACACTTGTACAGATTCCTCGCTGATGCCTGTGTATGTCCAGATACAGGTCTTTGTAAGTATTGTCAAAGCCTATTGTTTACATGTGTTTAAATTAGGCTGATCACGTCATCGATATTACACTGACATGTGTATTCTTATTCCATGATGTAAAGTAAAAATATGAGTGTTGCCAAACCTAGAATACCTTAATGTCACTTTGTTGTTTCTCTGATCCATTGAGGATTTAAAAAAAAAAAAAAAACCCACACACCATAATGCAAGGTTTGCAGCTATAAATCTCATTAATGGAAGCCAGTACACTGAGCCTTGCTCATTTTGCTTCAAACCACACTGTTGATTTTTTTTTAATTTCTGGTATTTGTGTGCATTAATTAGTATACATTACAGAATTGTTCTCAGGACCTTTTCGATAAAGAGTGAATAAAGTATTTAATCTAAGGCAGCAGCAGTTCTACCCATAGTCTGATAATCAGAAGAGTAACATGAACTTATCACCTCGTTTACATTTTTAGTATCTGATTCGATACTCTTCCCTGTTAAACAAAGGGCGTGAGCGTGAGCCTGAGTCCAATGGGACTTTAGCAACTGTGTTAGAGCACATTGCTGAATAAGAGTGGACTTAAGCACATGTTCCAATGCTTTGCAGCAGTGGGCATTAACCTGGAATTTTGTATATTGTGCTGAACACATGGAAGATAACTTGGGTGACAACAGTTAAGCCCAACATGCAACAGCATCCAAACAAGTCAGTGGGGTATTGTCAAAAGATTGTGTGAAGCATTTATATTTGTGCTATCATTTCATTGTATTGTATATAGTTCTGTAGTATTAGAGGTTAACTTCTAGCCATATTGTCTCTGCCAACATCTGAGTCTGTTAAATACGCAGGGGGTCACTTTGATCGTCTTGAAACGAAATGCAAGAATTAAGGAGGAATGCTGTTCACTAGCGGAGCTGTACTAACTCTTTCTGAAAGCGAACAGTCTTTAACTGGCGCCAACAACCTGTGGTTTCCATGTGGCATCAGCTTCTCTACCCTCTTTCTGGCCTATGCACTCCCCATCATTTGTGCTGGCAAACAAGTTCTGGATTGGGGAGTATGGAAATGGAATAAACGGCACTCTGGCATCTCTGAGCCCACAGAAGACTTTGGCTGGGGTCTGTAAATCAGGAGGGGCTGGAGCCAGGGGAGCCAGCAGGAGGTTTGGGAAATATTCACCTCTGAACCTGGCAGATTCCTTAACAGAAATCTTCCTGTGAGTCAGTGCTGCTTCAGGCAGTATAAATTCATCCTCTATGCCATCTATGCCTTTTGTAAAGTGGGCTGTACTCCTCAGGGGTGCAGTGGGGGAGGACTGGATCTCTGCATTCCAGCCCTGGTTATATAAGGCACTTAAGTACATGCTTCAGTCCTATGGACTTCCAAATAAGCATGAATGCTTTGCTGAATCCGAGTCTAAGAATGGTATCCAAGCATTGTGAAACCAACTTCCCTGAGGAGTCTACGGTTCTGAGGGGCTTTCAAGACCCTCTCCCTTCTCTAGTGCAAGGCTATGAAAGGACTTTGTAGCATTACCAGGCAGGATTTGCCATGAGAATGGACATCGACCCACCTAGTCCAATAGAAAGGGAGACCGAATTCTGTCACCTGGTTCTGATCATGCAAACTCTTATGTGATCACCCACTGGGGCAATGGGGCTACTTTCCTATGTCACAACTACTCGCTCATGATTTTGGGTTTGCACCATGAGGTCCTGTGTGCAGGAATGTCCTTAGGATGTATGGGGCCCTACGCAGTACTATTAAACTGGTGCTTCTCTCCCCAACGACAGCCAAAGGGGGGGCAAATGACGATTTTTATAGAGCTGTGATTTTATAATCTTCAGAAACACACTAATGGAATAGTTTTAAAGCAAATTGTAACCTAAGGTCCTGTCAACTAACACTGTAAAGTCAGAAACTGACAGCGTATACTTGGAGTTGTCACATGCCCGTTAAATGGCTTCATTACCACTTCAATGGTTCTTTCACCGGTTCAATGTGCTGCCGATAGATCTGGCAGGCTTTTTCACTTGTAAGTTAACTAGATCTTCTTGGGAGGAAGTAGAGTCACAGAACAGGGATAGAAAGAGGCAGGTAGGTGGACATTAAGACATAGTGCTCCCCCAGATTTTCTGGTGCATTATGCAGCTGCACATTCTGCATATGGGTAAGGCTGGCCCTGCCTGTATGTGGGAAGAAATTTGATTCAAGTATCTTTATTCCCATAGTCAAAGATTTCTGATATGGACAGTCTTCAGCCCAAAAAAATCCTTTTGGACTTCTGACTCCAATCTCATCTCTATTCCCATTTTCTTTGGGGTGGGAGAGAAATGGGGGAGGAGAGCAGAGGGTTCCCAAGGGCATCTGGCTGTTTGTGGGTTGTTTTAATCAGTTGTTTTTGATGGGGTCTGGTTCAGAACAAACAAGGGTCTAAGCCTCCATTCAAAGTCTAAATGAAACTGTATTTGCATGCAACAGCTCTATAACGTGTGGATTGGTACAGCTGCTTTGGGGTGTAATGGCAGCATGGCAACCTGTATCTATTTGAGCAGAGCCTGTGGGATGTGTCTACATTCATGTCAGCCACCATTTGTAACATTCCACTCCCAGGCTGGGCTCTGGGAATGGAAGTGCTGGTTGTTTTGCCTTCCCTTTATCCCCCATGGCTGTGGGCACCATGCACAGATATCTGTTTTTGAAGGGTAGAACTCTTAGGCATTTGAGAGTTTCTCCTTTTAAGAGCCAGATGGCATAGTTAGGCCCAGGCCCATGCTGGGGGTGGCCTGGAGACACATAACACTGGGTGGGGAGAGGAGGAAAGGTATCAGGGAGGTACTGTGTACACTGGAGCTTTCCGGTGTGTGACATCCCTTCTCTGACCTGCCAGTTCACAGTCAGAGCTGAACCTCCCTTCTTCCCCTTCTTGTCTCTTGTTTGCACTCCAGGAGATGCTTGCAGGGAACAACTGTTGGCCTCAGGAAAGCACAGGGCCTGCAATTGTTGGCCTCAGGAAAGCACAAGTGGTGACAAGTGACTGCCCAGGAGTCATGAGGGGACCTCCCCTTCCTGCACATCCACAGGAGGGCTGGCCATGATCTAGCCTTAAGCATTTTAAAGTAAGCATAGTGACAAACCATCTCTAGTTCCCATAGTTATATCGAATCTAGTGCAGTTAGAGGTGGTCCCCGAAGGAAACAGGTCTAAATATTAACCTTAATCTAGAAGCAGTTGACCACTTAACATCCCCTCTACTAATCTGAGTGAGGTTAATATTTGACTAAGTCATTTTTAAAGTACAATTCTAAGCAGATGTCCTAGTCCCAATCAGGTAGCTCTGTCACCTGGGCATAGAGGCCCCCTTTCTAAACAAAAACTAATGACTGGGAGTAGCAGGGCTCATTTGCACATTGCTGCTCATGCTGTAGTTTGGGTTTGTTTGTGTTTTTTATACCATTGTCCATGGAAAAGCTGAACATATGCGTAGTCTAACATGTGTGCGTTGTAGAGTGCGCTACGGAATGTAAAATGTATGTGTTACACGCTAGAAGAAAATGTTTGATCTGGAATATAAATAATTGCATGTGCACAGCGCACAGGGGAATGGGAATCAACCGGAATATGTAGCAGTGACTCCCAAACCTCTTGGCTTTTATAAATAAACCTTCCTAAGGAAATTGACTTTCTGTGTTTACTTGCAGCTGTGCTAAGAAGCTGTCAATGAATTGTCACAGTTAGACACTGAATTAAGCAACTTTCCTCCCCCTTGCACTCATGGCTCTCACTTGCTCTTGAGATTCTGTCTCTCAAGTAACAGAACTTCAATGAGAATTAGGCACATAGATCTCTTGAAAATCCTACTGGGGCATATCTGCATTTTTAAGCACCTAAATACCTATTAAAAGTGCCTCGGGCACTTTAAAAAATGGGCCAAAGGCTGCTTAGCCAGCTAGCGCTTTTGAAAATGTTACCCCAGAGCTACTTCAAGGTCAAAATATGAGATACTGAGTTTAAGGTGACATGGCTCCCAGATTAAGAATATGACAAAAAACAGAGGAAGCAGGAAAAAACTGGGGCTCTTGTATACCAGTAACTCTTAGCCTTTTGTATAAACACACCTAATGGTTTCTATGGCCTCAGCTTCAATATTCTGCTTTTATGATCCCAATAATTTGTAACTAACTAGTAAATTATAATAGTAGGTTTATGTAGGTCAGTGGTAAATATCGGTTCAAAGAAAGAAGTGCAATTTATAATAAGCTGCTGGGATGAGATTTCATCTCCGTTAAAATGTGGCTAGATTTTTAGAAGGCTTTGTGAACTCAGTTTGGCCCTGGATATATTTTCCACATTGTAATATTGTGCAAGATCTCAAATCCAATTCACATTCGTGGCTTTGGGATTTTAAAGCAAATCTCAGTTGCTTTCATTGCAGATTTTGTTGGACTCTGCAGATTTGTCAGTGATAGAAA